TCTGTGATGCATTTTTCACAGTCATGAATTTCGTAGTGCCCTGCTCAGGGTGGGAAGGGAGCACAGTAGCATTTCTGACCACAACTGTGTGACGTTCTGTACCTCAGGGGAACACCCAGCACCCACATGTTCATCTTTATAATATGATTGTGTGATATCTAATGCAAAGTTTGTCATGTTGGGTGTCTTCAGAAGGCTCATGATGTACTGAGCATTGTTACAGTAATGTTGTAGGTTATAATCTCACGTATATAGTTATAAGGCTGAAAATGTGTCCTCATGGCTTAAAGCAAGCCCAGGCAAAAACTCTCCATGAGCAGAGGGGCAGTTCACACCTCATCGGGGCATGTATGGGACAAACCCAGCCCAGCCTCCCAGGAACAAAGGACACTGGCCTAGGCAACAACAAAGGATCTGTTGGACTCTTGAGTGAGTTACCCCCTTTCCTTTGGTGATTTTGGGACTACAATGATAATGCTCACTTGACTATGAGGTGGGGGACGACAAAGCCAAGAGGGACGAAAGGACATGATAAAAGGGAGAGATGTTTGCCATGCTCCTTCTCTTCCACCTACATCTACAGACACCACACCAAGCAACCGAAGGGCTGATCCAAGTGGGGAGCCTGGCTGAAGAGCAACCAGCCAGCTTGTGGTGACAAGCATCTAAGTTTGTAAGGGCACTGAAAGTGTTAAGATCAGCTTAGAATGCATTTTGCTTTTATTTCATTTGACCAAATACGACTTGTTATACTTAGATTTTAAGTGATTATAAATCAATCTTTGTAGTTAGTAAATCTGTTTATTCTACCTGAAGCAGTGCATTTGGTTTGAAGCATGTCAGAGACTCCCCTTGGAATAACAGCCTGGTACATATCAATTTCTTTGTTAAATTAATGAACTCATATAAGCTTGTAGCATCCAGCGGGCATAATTGGACACTGCAAGATGGAGGTTCCTAGGGTTGTGTCTGGGACCGGAGATATTGACTAGTGTCATTCGGTTGCACAATCCAAAGAGCAGCTTACATGCCAGAGGTTGTGCATGAACAGCCCAGGAGAGGGGGTTCTCACAGCAGAGCAGGGTAAGGCTGGCTCCCAGAGTCGAGGATTGGAGTTACCTAGCAGATCACTGGTCCAGACAACACCAGAGGGAAATGTCACAGTGGTGCAGCGAGCAGGGTGTATGTGCAGCTTGTTACTCCAAGTGGAGTTCACATTTTAAGTACTGATATTTTTGATTTTAAGTGAGTCTGAAGTGCAGTGGCTAAGAACAGTCAGGAGGAGGTCACAGTTTTGTTATTTTCTGTTGCTTATTTTAGGAAAGGAAACTAAGAACAGGACAGCAGGAAAATGAGTGAAAGCTGTCCTCAACACAGAAACCCCCCCAAGCTATTGAAACCTATCATGTTGGTTTTGTGAGATTAGCCTCTGCAGAACCAGACCTTGAGCATGTTAAGGTTGTCGAAATTAATGGCAGGGAGTACTTGGGGCAGAAGGATACGGGGGCCCAGATCTCGCTGGTTAAGCAGAGTGTGGTCTAGAGGCCAGTATGCTATCTGGCCAACTGGCAGAGATTGTGGGGATGGGCGAAAGCAGATTCCTCATACCACTAGCTAAAATCCATGTGGTGTGGGAAGGTTTGGAAAGTGTTTTGACTGTGAGGGTAATAGAACGCCTCCTGTTTGACCTGCTCCTTGGTAATGATTTTTTCCATGTAGCTCAGGTTAAAGTATTTGCCTGCAGCAGGAGGGAGCTTTATGCTGGGACCCCTGAGGGAAAGGGTAAGGTCTCAGGAATTGCTGAGAGAATGGGAGAGAGTCTCCTTGATTCTTCTGCAGCAGGGAGAAGCCACATGCTTCCAGGTGGGACAGTGGTTGAGACCAACTCCTGCATTGCAGCTGGAGGCAACACCACATCAGGAAGGGATGGGAGTGTAATGCCTGCCAGGGAGAGAACTGTCCAGGTTGTAATGCCAGCAGGTCACAGCTGAACCAGAGGCAAAATCAGCTCTAGGGAGCTTAGAGGAATGTGTCCCAGAGGAGAGCCCAGAGAAGGGGCAGGGCATCTCAGAAACCACTGAGGTGGGTGAGGATTCCTGTGATTCTGTAACACAGGGAAGTGGGGTGCTTCCGAGTATGGGAGGGGCTGAGACTAGCTCCTTTCCAGCAGAAGGCAACATGCCCTCAGGCGCAGGGGCAGGAGAGGTGTTGTCAGTGATTAAGGAAACTGTCCCAGTTGTTAGCTGGCAAAGTTTTGCAGATGAACAAGAGATAGAGCCCTTCCTAGGGTGCACAGAGAAATGTGTCTTAGGAGGGGGCCCAGAGGGGGAAACTGGGGAAGGAATAGTGGGGGTACAGGAATGTCTCCTCACTGGTCACTTGGGACAGGATGCCCAGGACACTAGGAGAATGGCTGAATCAGCATCTGTGCACCCAGGCACTCAGCCTGTGACTCAGGTTTTGAGAAGGAACGGTGTAACTGACCTCCTGGAGGGGAGCAGTCACACAGCTGACTTCTCAGGGACAGGGAAAGGGATGCTGGAGGGTACCCCAATCCAGGTCTCCATTTTTCAGGATGCTATTTCTGATAATTTTTTGGAAAGTAACTGTGTCTCTTTAAATCAAGATGCAGCTCCAATGCCTGTGACAGGAGAGGAGTTGGGACCAGGAAATTGCCAGGGTGGTAGTTTGCCAGAATACAAATGACCCAACCGGCAGAGAGGGGGGTGTTTTCTTCCAGGCTGGTGAGACACAGAGAACAGTTATGGGAAAGCTGCTGGGAAAAGGTGCATCTGATCAAAGAGTAAACACACCTTGCCCACAGAGCACAGATCATAGTCCTCTAGGAAAAGGGGTCAGGGAAGGAGTCAGTGCTGGGAAGGGGAAACACAGGGTAACCCCCAAAGGGAAACTGGATTTTCTGCATATGTACAGTCCTGGGGTTGGGAGACTGCTCCACAAAGGGCCAGCCAATGTGCAGGATCCCCCTGAACACCTATCTTGCCAGACCCTGAGGCACCAAAATTCCAGAAAAAATGATTAAATTAAGAGCCCACAAAGATGGGAACACTGGAGGGAAGGAAAAGCCAGTGACTGATTACATGGGAGAGAGTCAAAGGACACCATGGGTAATGAATAAACTACCCTCAAACTACACTATCTGAACAGAGGGCGTGGTGTCATAAAGATACTTGTAAATACCATCTGTGATAAAAATGTTGGTATTAATGTTAAGTTTTGGGATAAGAATTTTGTTACTGATGTTAAATCTTATGTTAATGCTACTTTTCAATTAATATCTGTAAACAGGTTTAAAGCTGATCACAGCAGAGAAACCATAAAAAACCTGGTTTGCTGTGTCTGAATGGGGAAACTGAGGCACACCGCCTCATGGCCTTAATGGCTGGATGCCAAAAGAACTATAACACAAACTTTGAAATAGTCAGTGACTAAACCTCTTGCAGTAAACTAAGGGGGAGGGATAGTTCAGTGGTTTGAGCATTGGCCTGCTAAACCCACGGTTGTGAGTTCAATCCTTGAGGGGGCCATTTAGGAATCTGGAGCAAAAATTGGGGATCGGTCCTGCTTTGAATGGGGGGGTTGGATTAGATGACCTCCTGAGATCCCTTCCAACCCTGAGATTCTATGATTCTAAGGGGGGAGGTGTGATGTTCTGTACCTCGGGGGAACACCCAGAACCTCCATGTTCATCCTTATAATATGATTGTGTGGTATCTAATGCAAAGTTTGTCATGTCAGCTGTCTTCGGAAGGCTCATGATGTACTGAGCACTGTTATAGTAATGTTATAGGTTGTAATTTCATGTACATAGTTATGAGGCTGAAAATGTGTCCTCATGGCTCAAAGCAAGCCCAGGCAAAAACTCTTCAGAAGCAGAGGGGCAGTTCACACCTCATCGGGGCATGTATGGGACAAACCCAGCCCAGCCTCCCAGGAACAAAGGACACTGGCCTAGACAGCAACAAAGGATCTGTTGGACTCTCGAGTGAGTCACGCTCCTTCCTTTGGTCATTTTGGGACTACGATGAGGTAATGCTCACCTGACTGTGAAGTTGGGGGCAAAGCCAAGAAGGAAGAAAGGACATGATAAAAAGGAAAGACGTATGCCATGCTCTTCCTCTCTCTTCCACCTACATCTACAGAAACCACCCGCCAAGCGACTGAAGTGCTGATCAAAGGGGAGAGCCTAGTTGAAGGCCTGTGGTGAGAAGCATCTAAGTTTGTAAGGGCACTGAAAGTGTTAAGATCAGCTTAAAATGCATTTTGCTTTTATTTCATTTGACCAAATACGACTTGTTATGCTTTGACTTATAATCACTTAAAATCTATCTTTGTAGTTAATTAATCTTTTTGTTTATTCTACCTGAAGCAGTGCGTTTAGTTTGAAGCGTGTCAGACTCCCCTTGGGATAACAAGTCGGGTACATATCAATTTCTTTGTTAAATTGACAAACTCATATAAATTTGTAGCATCCAGCGGGCATAACTGGACACTGCAAGTCAGAGGTTCCTAGGGTTGTGTCTGGGACCAGAGATATTGGCTAGTGTTATTCAGTTGCACAATCCAAGGAGCAGCTTACATGCCAGAGGCTGTGCGGGAACACCCCAGGAGTGGGGGTTCTCACAGCAGACCAGGGTAAGGCTGACTCCCAGAGTCAAGGATTGGAGTGACCTAGCAGATCACCGGTCCACATAACACCAGAGGAGAACATCACAATTCTTGCTTCTCAGCAGTGATGAGAGGCAGCTTGCTGCTACTCCAGCCCCAGCCTCTCCCATCAGGAGGTGCTGTAGGGAATGGAGCAGGATCTTGAGCTGTATTGTCCTCATTTCTCCCTCTATAGGGGAGCTGACAGCTATTCTAATCCCAGCCTTTCCCAGCAGCAAGCTCTGTAGGGAATGGTGAGCAATGCTAGTTGTGCTCCCAGCTGTTCCTGTCTCAGCTCGACACAGTAGGGGTTATCAAAGCTACCCACCTACCTGTCAAGAACGAGCTCCTCCAGTTTATGCAGGTCACAGGCGATATACTCCAGGGCCATGTCAGTGATCCGAGGGCACCATGAGAGATCCAAGCTCCTCAGCTTCCGCAGGTTCTCAGCCACGAGCTCCACCCCATCATCAGTCACCTTGGAGCAGCCAGAGAGGCTCAGCACGGTCAGGTTGGGCAGGCTGTGCACCATGTTGACCACCCCATGGTTGGTGATCTCCCAGCAGGAGCTGAGGCGCAGGGTGTGGGTGGTATAGCCCTGCTTGGCAGTGAAGTAGGCTAAGGCTGTGTCCGTCACATGGTAGGCCTGCAGGTTGAGCTCAGTCAGATTGGGAAGCAGCTGGGAGATGGCGGCAATGGCATCATCAGCCACATTGATGCAGTCGCTGATGCTTAAGGAGGTGATGCGAGCATTCAGGCTCGACCACAGGCCGGCTTCTGTGAAGTCATTGCAGCCAGAGAGCTCCAGGCGCACCACACCCTGCATCTGCTCCAGCATCACCTGCCAAGAGACATGCTGTCAAGCCCATGGGCACTCCCTCTGCCACACTTCATAGATTCATGGAGTTTAAGGCCAGAAGGACCATTACATCATCTAGTCTGACCTCCTGTACTTCACAGGTCACTACATTCTACCCATGTGTTGAGCACAATAACTGGGGTTAGACTAAAGCTTTTCAGTTCTCAGGAGACTAAACTACTGTGTGCCACGGGTGCACCAGTGCTCAAGGCCCCAGTAATGGTAGGGAATTGTTTAGGTGTGACATGCCTGGATGATCCTAGAAAGCAACACATGCCCCACGCTACAGAGGAAGGTGAGAACCCCCAAGGTCCCTGCCAATCTGACCTGGGGGAAAATTCCTTCCTGACCCCGACCTGGAGATCAGATGGACCCTGAGAATGTGAGTGAGATACACCAGCCAGCATCTAAAAGAGATAATTTTCTGTACCACCTCAGAGCACTCTTCCAATCCACGTGGCTGTCCCATCCCCGGCTGTGGCCAATCCCTGCTGCTTCAGAGGAAAGCACACACACAAAAAACTGCACCCCAAAACCCAGAACACACCTGGCCAATTGTTCATCAAGCTACAAATCCTTCCTGAGCCCTGCAGGTGACTGGCTGAAGGCCTCAAGTATGATATTTCTCCTGAGCGGCCTCTGAATCTCAGTTATATGCTGCAACATAAAGACGTGAAGATCCTAGCCTCTCCTTGGTTAGTCTCCAGCCCACCTTCTTCCCTCCCGCCACCCTTCCATGCTCAATTCCTGCCTTTTCTTTTCCTGTGTCACCTGTTGTTTGACCATGGAGCCAGGCCTGTCCTGTTATGTATCCTCTTCAATTAATATGGCTCATATGGTCTCAGACATACAGTGAAACCTAGTGAAAATGAGCCCCACTGAACCAATGCAAACACTTCCCCCAGGACTCAGGGGGCTACCCTCTCTCAGAGCCTCTGCTCTGCTGGAGACATTAGGCACAACAGATTAACAGAGGACCCTGCCAGCAGTCCTGGGTTCTGCCCCCTGTGAGATCCTTGAGACCTAAGCTCTGCTGGAAAGTGATACGCCCCCTCAGCACATCCTGGTGGAGTTTGTAACACCTAACTTTAGGAAGACCTGTGTCGTGGGGCTCATGGTGCATACAAGCTCAGGCAACTATACCAGTGAAGTTTATAACCTCTTGGGGCACTCTAACCCAGGCTTTCTTACACCAGAGGCATGCCTGAGTCCTGTAAGAACTGCACGTGAGGCACAGTGGGTGTTCTAAGCACCCAGAACAGCACGTGGAACTTTCAATTTCCATGAGTGCAGCTGACAAAAAAAACCCTGGTCTCCACTTAAAATGTAGGACAATATAACTATGGCCCTCCAGGGTATGAAAAATCAGTGCCTTTCAGTGCTGTAGCTACATGGACCTAACCTCTGGTGTACACACAGCCACTCTAGGTCAATAGAAGAATGCGTCTGTTGACCTAGCTAGTGTTGCTCGGTGAAATGGTGTTTCTACAGCAAAGAAAAATCCCCCTCCATCTCAACAGAAGCTTGTTAAAGTGAGAGAGTATGTTGGTAATGCTCACATGCTCACAGATGTCTCTCAGCGACAGTGAGCTCTGTGGCCATGTCTACATTACCGGGTTATACTGGCATAGCTACAGTGACATAACTAAGCCACTATTGTCTCCATAGTGTAGACATTGTCACAGAGGTCACTGCAGCTGAAAAATATCTGTGAGCATGTGAGCATTACCAGCATACTCTCTCCCCATTTAACAACAGCTAAGAAAATCCCCAGACCAGCGGTTCTGACACTGCGGGCCACATGCGGCCCAATTAGCACATAGCTGCGGCCCAGACCAGCTGTGTGCTAAAGTCTGGTCCACATTTCCTGGGTCTGCCAGATTCCTCGCTGGCAGGCATGGGGGGGTTCGGGCTGCCCTGCCACCCAGTGGGGTTGGGGCTGCCAGCTGGCCCCGTGGGGTTAGGGGCCTGAGGTATGGGGCAGCCACCCAGCCCCGCAAGCTCTGGGGTCCAGGGCAGCCACATGGTGGAGGTCTGGGGTCAGGGCAGCTGGCCGGCCCTGCAGGGTTGAGGGTCCGAGACTGCTGGGTCCCATATGGTTGAGGGTCCGTGGTCTGGTGCAGCTGCCCAGCCCTGTGAGCTCCAGGGCAGCTGCCCGGCCCCAGTCTGGGGCAGTTGCGTAGTGGGCATCCAGGGCAGGGGTCCAGCGCACCCCATGTGGCAGGGGTCCGGAGTCAGGGCAGCTGGCCCACCCCGTGTGTGTGTGGGGGGGGGGTCTGGGGCTGCCGGCCCACCCCGTGGGATCCAGGGCAGCTGCCTGGCCCTGCAACCTCTGGGATCTGGGGCAGCCAAGCAGCGGGGGTCCAGGGCAGGCAGCCAGCCAGCCAGCCCTGAGTGGCAGGGGTCCGGGGTTGGGGTCCGGGCTGCCGCTGCCTTGCCACCCAGCCTCTGTGGCCTAGGAGGTAACACTTTGTGACCCACATATGTGGCCAACAATGTGTAGTAAGTTGAGAACCACTGCCCCAGACTAAAGCTCTCTGTTAAGGCAGAGACACTGTCAGGAATATATTGCCTTCAAAACAACACGTAAAACACAAATGCTTGATGTACACACCTGAGCCTCCAACATAACATTAACTCTGCTCCTGGGTCCCCACCCACATGCCACCTAGACGTCACAGTCCTCTTCATTCACACTTCCCCTGTTGGCTGTAGCTCACCACCATCCCCATCCAGACACTAAATTCTAACCAGCAAACTATCCATCCACCACTCAGGCTAGAGCATCACCTTTCTCCAGCCTGCCCTCCTGCTACAGCCCAGATGTGAAGCCTTGTCACACCTTGACCTTCCCATGTATCCCAGTGGTCACACCCTGCCTCACCTTGCCTACCATCTCTGCTCTGCAGTCAATCCCATGTGCTTGAGGGAGGGATGGAGGGAGGGGGAAGGCCTTCTTGGGACCTCCAGCAAGATGTCATTTTGATGTCCCCCTTCCTCCTGTATCCCCTCCCTTTGGGTTAGTCACCAAGTCACATGATGCAGGCTTAGGGAGCCAGGATGCAGCCAAAGGATCTCCCCTTCCTCTGCCTGGGTCCTGCACACTGCTCTGGCAGCAGCCACCCTGGCACTAGGGGGCACCAGCTTACAAATCTGGGGGACTCTTTCCAGCATGGCACTCATATCCCAAGGTTTACCATCTTGTAATCCACCCTGACACCCTCCTGATGGGTGGAAGAGATTCCCTGCCCTGTAGCTGATGAAGGCTGGAAGACTGGGAATGGGCTTTACCAGCACACATCTACGGAGGGCTCTGCTGGAATGGATACACACAGCAGGGTGGACTTTCTGCTTATGGAGCATTGATGAGGAGTCTCCCGGCTGGAAGGGCAGGGGAAAATGGGGTTGAGTTAAGGTTAGCCTTGGAAATGTAACTACACCTTTCCTGTGTGTGTAACAGCAGTGTATAGAAAGATGATAGTATCCCTATCCCTTCTTGTGGTGCTCACCATGCTCTCCATTTTAGATGCCACCAGAAACCAGCCAGAGCAGCAGGATGGACATAGCTAGGCCCGGCATGCTTGTGTATGGTTATTTGGAACCTAACTGTGTGTCTGTGTTTGCTTTATATTATTCTTGTTGTGTAAAGAGCAAAAGACACAACAATCCTGGGGGCATTGAGAATTTTGTCCAGTGGTGCAGGTATTGCGCCAAGACTCTGGAGACGTGGGCTCTATTCCCAGTTCAGCCCCTGGCCTTTTGGATGACCCCTGGGCAATTCACTTAACCTTTCTGTGTCTCAGTTTCCCCATGTATAAAATGGGGAGAATAATACTTGCCTCCTTTGTACAATGCTGTGGGATATGTGGATGAAAAGTCCTGCAGAAAAGCTAGGTAGCAATATTATTATGGCCAGATTGTTTTAAAGGGCAATGGAGTAAAGGGTCTTTACTCTGCGCTGTCAAAGGTTTGTGCCCGGGGACAGATTTCACTTGGAATGCAGCAAGGAAGTGGAGGAGAAGATGGGGAGTCATAGAGTTTAAGGCCAGAAGGGACCACCAGACCATCTCGTGACAATCTGACCTCCTGTCCATAAGTCCGCTGACATCACCCAGCACCTGCACACTAAATCCAACAACTGAACTCAGCCCAAAGGATTACAGCTCATGGGAGACTAAAGGATTATGTGTCACAGGCAGAGAAAAGTGGGGACTGAGGTGTACCAATGCACAAGGCAAATGGAATGGCAGAAAAATGATTAAGTGAGATGCATCCAGATAATCCTGCAAAGTGACCTTCACCCACATGCTGCAGAGGAAGGCAAGCACTTCCCAAGGTCACTGCCAGTCTGACCTGTGGGAAATTCCTTCCCAACCACACACAGGGTGATCAGCTAGACCCTGAGCACATGAACAAGAACCAGCCAGCCACACACCTGAGTGAAAGAATTCTTGGTGCCACCTCAGAGCCCTGCCACTCTGGCTAGTGTCCCATCTCCAGCTGTGGCCATCAATGATACTTCAGAGGAAGAAGATCAACTCCCCACCTCAGCATACATTGGAAGGGAAAAAAAATCCTTCCTGGCCCCTGCAGGTGCCTGGCTAAAACTCTGATGCATGAGCTTTTAGGAAGATAAGCCAAAAAAACAGAAGTGAGTCCCAGGGCTGTTGAGTCCTGCCCCCTGGGGAGAATGAGGGGACCTCAGCATGGGGGCCTTGCTCACCTCCTTAATGCAGAAGTGCTGCTGAGTGCGGAGACTAAGGAGTGATGAGTCTGTGCCCTGTCCATAATGATCCACTCAGGCTGACTCAGTTGCCTGGGGATGAATGTTGTATCATATCATGCAGGCTTTCTCAGCTGGATCCCAGACCTCAGTAGGGGGCAGCGAATCTAGTATTCCAACTCTGAGGGAAGATAGTGAGACGGAACTATGGGAATGGCTAAAGGAAGCAATCTCTTTAGCTGACACAGATCTGTTTAACAAGCTCCCAGCCTCCCAGGGAAGGGAAGAATCATGGGAATTTGTAGCCAATATATTTGGATACAAAGCATTCTGTCTAGACTGTGGCTACAGAATTAAAGGAGCATGTTTTCTCTTGCACTGCACTGCACTATGGCAAGTGAGAGTCCGGGCAGCGTAGGCAGAGAATCACACCAGCAATCAGAGTGGTGTTAGGCTGATCTTGTGGGTAAGGCACTGGCCTAAACCTTAGGTCAGGTGGATTCAATTCCTCGCTCCACCACAGCTTTCCTATGTGATCTTGGACAATTCACTTAAAATCCCTCTGGGCCTCAGCTGCCCATACATAAAATGGACATAACAACACTTCCTTCCTGTCTCTTGCCTGAGATTCTGAGCTCTTTGGGGCAGTGATGGAGTATCTATACAGCACCTTCCACAATGGGGCCCTGCTCACAGTTGGTACCTGAGGTGCCACTTCTGTAATAACAACAGCCCAGCTGTGGTGCGACTGACCCAGAAATACCACGCTTAGCTCACCAGAGAGAGATTGGATGGAATTCAGACCCCCAAAGAGAGGTAGGATTGTTTCAGGGTCACAAGGAATAATGGGATGGAATTCAGCAATGGCAAATGAAGTGAGTTCTATGGGGCTGTGGAAAAGGCTTCCTAGGAAGCACTGGGAGCACCATCATTTGAGACATTTCAGACCAGACTGGAGAGAACTCTAGAAAACATCCTATCAGGAAGAACCCTGCCTTGCTCCCGGGAGCTGGACTGCAGTGAACAGGAGTCTTCTATCTCTCAGCCGCATCTCGGTGGTTCCCGGTAGCCAGACTGGGGGCAGGAGACCTACCTCGAGCCCTGCGTCCGTGATGGTCGATCTCTTAAGGCTCATGGACTTCACCCCTTTCTTGGACAGGGGGTAGTTGTCAATGAACTCACAAATGTCCAGGTCTGAGACCCCCACCAGACAAAAGCTGTCAAAGCCCCGGACAGCAAAGCCCTGGAGGTTAACAAACTCCTTCTCACCGCTGGGCAGAGTGTTGTAGAGCTCTTTGGTGTGCAGCACTGGTGTCAGGCCTACCCAGAACTTGGACTGGTACAGGACCCGCCTCCACACCTTACACACCTGGGCCAGGACACATTTCTCACAGGCTGAAAAGTACCAGAACAAGCGGTTGAGGATCTTTTCATCCACAGCAAGCTGCCTTTCCGTGGGGGAGCCAGGGAGCCTCTCTGGGGAGGGGTGCTCATTTCTCAGGGAGGCTTCACTCAAGTTCAGTCCCACCATGGAGGTGCTGGAAGGGGACGGCACCCCTGCCAGAGTCGCCAAGGACAGTGGTGATGCCAGACTGGGTATGGGAAGGTCACTGTGATTGGGTAAGGCTGGGCTGATGATAGCAGGCACGGAAGAAGGCTGGCACAGCCGGTTTTTCACTGCTGGTGTCCCTTTGGTGATGCTGGCAGAGCCAAGTCCATTGGGCTGGGTGGGGATCTTCACCAATCCATTCCGGGGTAAACATGGGGGCTTGGTGTCACCAGTACTCTGGTTCGACATCTTCTACAGTCACTCTGGAACACAATGGGGAGAGGTTAGGGGGCAGTTCTCTCTCCCGGGTGCCTCTCCGGAGACCCGTTGGGAGAGGGAGGAGCCTGAGATGTACATGGAAACCAAGGGCAAAGCTGAGATGCAAGGCCAACTGAGTCTAGAGGTGCTCTAAGAATCTCACCTTGTCCTGCCCCCTCCCTGTGTACTTACATCTCCAGAAACCCCCACTGACCCTGGCCTTAAATGCTCCATCTGGTCTGCAAATGGTGGGGCTCTGGCCCAGGGGGAAGTGTCATTCAGTGGACCTGCCCCTCAAGGGCAGTTGGGATATTAATGCTCCAGGACTGCAGTTACCTGGCTGAAGCTCTTAGTTAAAAAAAAAGGCCTGAACATGCAACTGATGCCCAAAGGAGAATGGTTTTGTAGGTAAAGGCTATGGCTGAGAGTCTGGAATTCGGGGGCCCAGTCCTGCCCTGATTCACACAGTGTGCAGCCTATCTCAGATTTCCTATGGCATCCATCTCAGTGGGCTCTAAGCACTGATTTGAATTTCATTGGGGTTGCAGAGGGTGTAGATTAGGGCAGTCCATGTATCTGAGAATGATATAGATCAACAGCTTGACCTTCGCAGCTGAGAAAGCAGTGTGGTCTAGAGGTTTGAGCACATCCCTGGAACCACTGAGGTTCAGGCCAAACACTCTCATTTTGGTCTTGAGCAAGTCACCTTTCTGCCTCAGTTTCCCCCTGTAAAACTGAGATAACTATAACTGGTAGGGATGTATCTGATTCTGGCCCTCTGTCACAGTAATAACAGGCATGTTTCATTTTCACAGCACTTATAAGATTCACAATCCACCCAGAGAGGTACAGGAGTGTTATTATCCCCTTTCTCAGAAGGGGAAACTGAGGCAGAGAGGTTAGGTGATTTCAGAAGACACCAGTGTGAGTGTCAGGATTAGAACTCAGGTTAGGAGTTCTGCCAGTTGACACCAGCCCTGGATCTGCCTCCACAGTGCTAGAACCATAACATTTCAGCTGCGCTACATCAAATAACACTGTAAGTTGTCATCTGCCCATCACCTCCCACAAAGCAAGGTGGCTCCAAGACTGTCAAAAAGGAAGTGCTGCAGAAGAGCTAAGGTCATTAGAGGGATGAGGGGACGCTGACCCTAGATAACACCATCATCACTCATTGCAGGAGGCCCCTCCATCAAGAAGGAACTTTTTCTTTCTGTCCCTTCCCAGCTGCATCACTCACTTGACCATCAGCCCTACAGTGCGAGTCACAACTCTGCAACAAAAGGAACAGGGATTCCATGACTGTAACTGCACAGTGTAGGGATCCCTAGAAGGAAACATGACGCCTTGTTCTATTTCCACACATAAGGGGAGCTTGGGTGGGAATGGGACAATCCGTCTTGCAGTTTTACTTTCAAACTGCAGCAATCCTGGGTCTCCAGACAAGCCAATCTTCTCTTCCTGTGGCAAATGTTTATCCCAGCATGTGCCACTAGAGGCCGCCATTCTCCTCTGTATATAAGCAGACCCAGTGCAATTCAAAAGGCAAGGATGGGACAATAACATGAATCTCTAAATCTGGTGTGTTTGTAGTGGAAGGGGTGAGGGCAGGGGTGTGTGGAACTCTGAAAGGCCTCTCTCTCTCTCTTTCTCTCTCCTTACATGGTCCTCCTCACTGTCATATCTGGAACCAGCACACTGAAAACTCAGGAGCAGACTCTTTCTTTCGCTGGCAAAAGCCATGATATTCAAAAGAATGCTTGCCTCACCATCCTCAGCTCACCTCGATGAGACCACACAGCTCTTTGGCTCTGCACCAGCACCACCACAGCACAATGGGGTGTAATGCTGGGTGCAGAGGGGGTACTGCTCCCTCTGCCACCCTCAGGCAACCTCGCTGACTCAATGGGATCCCTCAAGAGGGGAACTCAGGGCAGAATCTGGCCTAAAATCAAACAGTCTTTCCTTCCTCTTTACAATCAATGGAAGGCAGCACTTTAAATCCCTTTAAATAGCCCCATGAATGCAAAGCATCAACATCTTCCATTGATGTAAACATGGCCTTTGATCTTCTTGGGTTGGAAAGCAGCACCCCTGTCTCTTTGTTATATGTTTGTACAGTGCCTTGCATACCAGTGCTAAGGACTACTGTAGTCCACACAATAAATAATAGCATTCTGAAGACTTCATTCCTGGTACAAAATAAATCTGTAGAGGAATAGGGATAGGGTTAGCACAGTTTGATGCTCTGGAGGGTGTGGGGTGGGCTGTTTAACTAAGATCTGATCCTGCTCCAACTGGAGACACTGGCAAAACTCCAATTGGGCCTGATTCATCTCTACCAATGCACAGTAGGTGTAAAACACTAGAGGTGAAATCCTGACCCCCACTGATGTCAATAGGAGCTATGTCATTGACATAATGGGCTGGGATTTCACCCTCTATCCTGAATTATTATTTAACCCAAGGCTCTTCACACCACTCTGGACAGTAACCTTAACGTGGGTGTGAATGGAACTGACCCCACTTTGCCCCTCTAGAGCAGTGTCAAGGGGCTTTAGTATAGATGAGAAGCTGGCCCTATCCTTCTAATTTGGTAGCATTTTACACCTATCTTACAATGATATAAATGCCTGCCCCAGGTGCGGGGGCGATGGAGAACTGGGACCATTGACGTATGAATGTTCATAGTTGTATTAGACACAATGAAAATGTATATGGGCTATGAACCATCATGATTCAGGGCACCAGCTGAGTCCCAGTCATGTTAATGCATAGCTGTCCATCAAGAGCTTTCTTGCACCTTCCTGGGGGCAGCTGGTATTGGTCACTGTCAAAGAGTGGATGTTTGGTTCGATCTGTTATGACAAGCCCTATGTTCACTGGGCGCAGGACGGGGGCTGGATGCTGATCCCAGCCCTCCTTCATTGTAGGAATGTGTGTGTCACAGGAGAACAGGAGCAAGAACCCAGGGCAGTTGGATTCTCAAGTGGGGCAGCTCAATAAGATGAAGGCTGGTGAGTAGCAGCTGGTGAGGGAGGACTGCAAACTGAACCTTGTTAAAAGGTATGAGAGTGACTGCTGATGCATGTGCTCCTAGCACCTGGAGGCATCGTGCCTGCCCATTGTTGTAGGTGGCTAAAAGCGGCAGTGGAGCCCGGAGTTGGCTGCCTGTAAGGTTTGCCGAGTGTTATTCTGCATGCCAATCATCCTGTGTGCATTACAAATGAATAAACAGGTATTCTGTTTAAAAATCACATGATTGCATGGCTAAGGTGCCAGACAGTGCTTGGGAGAGGGGTGAGGACAACATGGCAACAACACTTTGTTACTAAAAATTGTTGTTTCCAGCCAAAATCTTACTTTAATTTGCCCGCAATGCATTAACATGGCCAGAAGGGAATTTCCTTCCTGACCCCAAGCGGCTAATACAACTATGAACACTCCAATGTCAATAGTCATCGCCCCGCACTTGGGGCAGGCATTTACATCATTGCAAGATAGATGTAAAATGCTACCAAATTAGAAGGGTAGGGCCAGCTTCTCATCTACACTAAAGCCTTGTCTACACCACAGTGTAGATAAAAAGTTATGCTGCTTTAATTAAACCACTGCTGCCTGCCCACACTATGCTCCTTGTGTCCGGAGCAGAGCACATCCACACTAGCAGCTCTTGCATCAATACAAATGCACTCACTGTGGGTAGGTGGCTATTCCACTGTGCAACTGGCCACAGGGTGGTTTGGGAAGGGTTTGCAATGCCTCATGGGACAGTACAGTGTAACATGATGCAGATTTCTCAAACCCATCATTCCATGGGCTGTCTACTAAATTGTCAGCCACTTTTCAACTAAAGTGTGTCCGGGGAGGGGGAGGGAGGGTGTGATAGGAAGTGTGTGTGGGGGGGGAAGAGACGGCAACAGAATGTGTGTTGGGGAAGTCTGTGTATTGGGGGAGAGTGTGTCGGCTTGCTGTCTCTTTAAGTTCAGACAGCAGCCTGAGCAACCAATCCTGGGGGAGGGGACACTCCCCCACATCAGCCCCCGGCTTTGCACAGTACAGCAGTTTCTCCCCCCTTCCTTCCGCCCTCCCTCATCCCACCCACCCCCTGCAGCAGCAGCCCACTCTGTCTGCATATGGTTCTGTGATTCCCTCCAAGTTCTCCCACAGTCTCCTCAGCTGCTGGCAGTGGCATCCTCAGCAGCTCTGTGAGCCCTCCATGCTGAGGAATGTCAAAGCTTCCTGGAGTTTTAAAAGAGGAGGGGTATGTGACAAGTTCACCCCTCCCCGCCCCCGGTGCCACCTGGAACTGGGGTACTGCTGAGCCCTCTGACTCAGCAGCCTAGGCTCCCTCTCCTGCTGTGCTTCTGTGACAAGCTGTAGACATGTTCCTAGTCTTACACTTTCACCAGTATACACACAGGTAGGGACACACCCAGCTGCAGTTACATGCAGGCTCTCTGACCAGCCACTGCATGTGAACCAACCATAGAGAAGCTACAGCCAAAATAAGCCCCAGCTTTCCAACCAAGGACCCCAGAACGATATCATCCTGCCCTGGTCCAAACCCCAACCAGTATTAATTTATTATTCAGTTCTCCTCCCACACAGTGTAGAGAGGAATATGCAACAGCCCCTCTGAAGTAAGATTCCCACAGACTTCACTCCAAGCTCACTGCTTCAGATAAAGCAAAAACAAGTTTAGAAGATAGATTTTAAGTGATTATAAGTGATAGCAAAGAGATCAAAGCAGATTACCTAGCAAATAAACAAAAATGCAACCTAAGATTAATATACTAGATGGACTGGATTTGAATTAACAATCTCTCACCCCAACTGATTATACAAATGGGCTGCAGATTCTTAAACTCAAGCTACACTTGCTTTGTAGCTTGCAATCCCCAGGTCTTTCATACACCAGCTAGAAATCCCTTTAGCCCAGGTCCAGTACTTTCTGCGTTCAGTCTTTGTTCCTTGGATGTTTCCAGGAGTCTTTTTGTGTGGG